ATTTATCTAATTGCCCAATAATTACGGAAACAAACGGCTCTAGACGAATTCCGGTAGACTACTTTTTGGACACCTGGACATCGAACAAAGACCGAAAATGTTTCAAAAGCTTTCTGTGCCGACGTGCATTCCGTTTCAGACGCTACCTAAATCACTAAAACGTCAGCCTAGCATAAGGACGGTTTCGGGGATTAACATTCATTTGGTCAAAGAACCCTCAGTATTATTAGCCTAATTCAAATCTATATAATAATCTGTGAAAATAGCTCTGCAGTGGTTTGGTCAATAGTTAAGCCCGAGTTAACATGGCCGGCTGTTTACATTTACCGTTTTTTTGTAGTTGACTGGGTTCCATAAATGTTACGTAATGCAATCCCCGCAGCCGACGATGTGCGGCAAGATCTGGGGAGATGAAATTCAGCCTTTTTTCTAATGTTGTATGTAATTGAAGTAAAGAGGATGATAAAACGGCTAATCTTGACAAGGACCTGAGTTTGGTACCCTCATCGAAATTCCCCTTTCCAATTCGCACAGCGGAGTGTTTCGCTTCGTACAACCGATGTAGCAGAACCCGACATTTAGTCCCGCAAGTCAGTCCGAGGAAATATTAGCTTCTTAATGCAAAAACGGATTTTGATTGAAGAAAAAACTGTATTACTTGTCGCTTTCTGCATTTTTCATTAGAGATCCTAATATGTCCACTCATGACCGGTTCATTGGTTCACTGGCTCTGCTTTACTTTGTATCATTCGTTCTCCGTTTGTTGGAAATCGTTGGTTGTCATACCTCAAAGTAGTGACCATGAACAGTCGAGTCCGAGCCACGGATCCACTGGTCAGTACGTCCTTGCTTTAACGACTGCGCTTGCTCCATCCCAAAGGATCTGTGACCGGTTGGATGCCACGAATGAATAAAAACAGCGTGATAGTTAAACGTAGATAGTTTGTTTTGAGAAATAACACTGCGCCGCGCTTAATCTCGATTAACGATCAACATATGCAATCAGAGGGGTCCATTGCATATCCCGTATTAACCAGTTTTTATCCCATACCACAACCTCACTTAATCACCACCTTCGTGCGCACAGCGACCGTCAGTCGATTTGACTGCACGGATTAGCAACCGGGGAAATCACAGGATTTTTCCACTCGAGATCACGGAAGTGCTATGCCACGAGGAAATAGCTTAGACCCATGACATGTGGAAGATTGATAAGGATCGTCACATCTTCGATCAAATCCAAGTTAATTTGTAGAGATTCACTTGAACAGATTTTGTTCGTCCTCAAGGTTTTATATTGTCTCACTTTTGTTTCCTTGGTCGAAGAGCACATAAACTTTCATGGACTTAACTATCCAGACAGGCTTTTTGTATATGATAACAGCCATTGAAGAGTTGCGTTGCGACCTCAGTAAGACTTCCCTCTCTCTCTTTCATTCCCTTACTATTGATAGTCCTTCGGAAGCCTGCTGTGCGGCTTATTCAACACGTTTTTGCCAGGACACATTCCATATTTGGCACAGTTTAGTGCATGCGCGGCTATCACACTCGCCGGTAAGTTCGAAATCATCCCACACATTTTAATGTGAATGATTCATTGCCAAGCATATTTCGCGCTCTTCACAGGTGCTCCGATAGAGCGTTTACCTCTTCCTAGGAAACCATTGTTGCTCATACAAACTCAGCAGCTTGAGGTAGATGGCTGATAAAGTAACGAAACAAACAAAAGTTTTCGTATGCGTGCGGTCCAAAACATTTGGCTTTCGAATTACCAGTGATTGGTTGTTTAGCGTCTCATTCAAAGTGTTCTTATTTCGTTTGTCATCTGTTCCCTAGTGGTGCAACATTTCGCTTTCGAATTACCAGTGATTGGTTGTTTAGCGTCTCATTCAAAGTGTTCTTATTTCGTTTGTCATCTGTTCCTAGTGGCTGCCAACATTTTAATATTTGACCGATTTTTGCGAGGCTAAACTGCCAACTTTACAAAGCTGTTTAATTTTATCTTAAAAATTGATTTCCGGTCATTCGACGGATACGCACTCTTACGAGGAAATACTCCTCCCGAAGGAAAAAGTAGTGACCTGAACGAGCATGACTTAATACAAAATGCATCTCCCAGGAGATGTCGAGAACACCCGCCATCGTGGTCTCTCTTTCTGGAATGAACATTGTATAATTCGCACCTCGCCACCACACGAGACATCGTCAATGTGCGTAGACTCTTCGTGCAAGTCATCGTGTTCTTTCGTTTTAGTTGTCTCGGAGCTTTTATTAAAGTGATTTGGCATCAGATTAAGATGCCTTAATAGGCGTGTGGATCTGCATGACACCTAAAGTGTTGCTCCCTCTAACGAGTAAAGTTATCCGATGATGAATTGCAAGTGTACACCTGGCTTTCTTCTGCCACGATATCCTGACTGCACCCATTACATTAGCTAGATTTAACCATGGTAATATGATATGGTAGTATCTCAGCTCTTGTACTTCCTTCGGGTGGTATGACAGCTACGCACCTAAAGAATGTTGCAACTAAACGATATAATTATTATACACCTGGCTTTCTTCTGCCACGATATCCTGACTGCACCCATTACATTAGCTAGATTTAACCATGGTTGGTTAATATGGTAGTATCTCAGCTCTTGTACTTCCTTCGGGTGGTATGACAGCTACGCACCTAAAGAATGTTGCAACTAAACGATTACTAATAATTATTATGCATAATATGCTTGTTAATTCTTTGGTATCACGCTTAAGTGGCAAGGGTCTGACCATATTAATAGCCGAAAAACATACAAAAGGCAATATATCTAAGTTTTCGAACGTATTTGACTCAAAGACTCCCGCGGTTCAACGCATGAAAGCCCTTTCGTCACCACGACGCTGGAGCTGCCGGAATAAAGAAACTACATACCTAAGCACTTGCTTCAGAGAACACTTCGAACAAAAAAGGTAATAGATTTTATTATCCATGATCGTTTGAAGAAATATCTTCAATCAAAAGGTCTAAGCAAAATTTGTTCAGATACATCAAACGGAATCAAGGGTTAAATTTGTGGTATTTTGTGAACAAAATCTGACCGAGATATTCTGAGTTGTAGACTAGTGAAGTGAATGGGAATAATGGTGATGGGGTGGCAAAATTTGAGCCACAGGGTGCAAATTAAGATAGACATGTAATGCCATAGAAAGCGATTCCCTCTTACAAACATTCCTTTTCATATTCCCGTCCTTGTTTACGAAACCGGTTACACTGGTCGGAGCATATTCTACATATGTCAAGTCTCCAGTTTATTTTCTGGTCTTTGTACCATATTGCGCATAGAAGTGCTGAAAATGGGAAAAACAGTGTTTCATGTGAAATTGGAAACAAGTAAGAGACTGGCAGTTGTTTATCAATGATGATCAACTAGCTACCCATGCCTTGTATAAAGTTGAGGGCCAGAAGGCGCAATAGTGGTAATAGTCCCACATGGGGCTGAGATAACCATTGGTAGCACACGAATAGCAAGTGACGGTGAGCTGTTCATTTCTGTGGCATTGTAGGTGAGAGTTTTTCAACGTTTTTCCACAAGGTACTGCGCTAAACTGTGTTACGTCTCCTGTAATGTTTCATAAGGTGACTCGATGTCAAGTTGAGATATCCCAAAATATGTGGAAATTCGAAAAGTTGCAAATAATCCAACACATCTCATTGTGACATCTAGTTAAATCTAGATAACGTAAAGGGTGAGATCGGGGTTTCAGGAAACGTTTATCGGGATATCGTGGCAGAAGAAAGCCAGGTGTACACTTGCAAGTCATCATCGGATAACTTTACTCATTAGAGGGAGCAATAAACCCCTCTGAAGTACATCGAAATCGCCAGCATTCATTTTACAACACTTTAGGTGTCATGCAGATCCACACGCCTATTAAGGCATCTTAATCTGATGCCAAATCACTTTAATAAAAGCTCCGAGACAACTAAAACGAAAGAACACGATGACTTGCACGAAGAGTCTACGCACATTGACGATGTCTCGTGTGGTGGCGAGGTGCGAATTATACAATGTTCATTCCAGAAAGAGAGACCACGATGACGGGTGTTCTCGACATCTCCTGGGAGATGCATTTTGTATTAAGTCATGCTCGTTCAGGTCACTACTTTTTCCTTCGGGAGGAGTATTTCCTCGTAAGAGTGCGTATCCGTCGAATGACCGGAAATCAATTTTTAAGGAAACGTTTATCGGGATATCGTGGCAGAAGAAAGCCAGGTGTACACTTGCAATTCATCATCGGATAACTTTACTCGTTAGAGGGAGCAACACTTTAGGTGTCATGCAGATCCACACGCCTATTAAGGCATCTTAATCTGATGCCAAATCACTTTAATAAAAGCTCCGAGACAACTAAAACGAAAGAACACGATGACTTGCACGAAGAGTCTACGCACATTGACGATGTCTCGTGTGGTGGCGAGGGGCGAATTATACAATGTTCATTCCAGAAAGAGAGACCACGATGGCGGGTGTTCTCGACATCTCCTGGGAGATGCATTTTGTATTAAGTCATGCTCGTTCAGGTCACTACTTTTTCCTTCGGGAGGAGTATTTCCTCGTAAGAGTGCGTATCCGTCGAATGACCGGAAATCAATTTTTAAGATAAAATTAAACAGCTTTGTAAAGTTGGCAGTTTAGCCTCGCAAAAATCGGTCAAATATTAAAATGTTGCAGCCACTAGGGAACAGATGACAAACGAAATAAGAACACTTTGAATGAGACGCTAAACAACCAATCACTGGTAATTCGAAAGCGAAATGTTTTGGACCGCACGCATACGAAAACTTTTGTTTGTTTCGTTACTTTGTCAGCCATCTACCTCAAGCTGCTGAGTTTGTATGAGCAACAATGGTTTCCTAGGAAGAGGTAAACGCTCTATCGGAGCACCTGTGAAGAGCGCGAAATATGCTTGGCAATGAATCATTCACATTAAAATGTGTGGGATGATTTCGAACTTACCGGCGAGTGTGATAGCCGCGCATGCACTAAACTGTGCCAAATATGGAATGTGTCCTGGCAAAAACGTGTTGAATAAGCCGCACAGCAGGCTTCCGAAGGACTATCAATAGTAAGGGAATGAAAGAGAGAGAGGGAAGTCTTACTGAGGTCGCAACGCAACTCTTCAATGGCTGTTATCATATACAAAAAGCCTGTCTGGATAGTTAAGTCCGTGAAAGTTTACGTGCTCTTCGACCAAGGAAACAAAAGTGCGATAATATAAAACCTTGAGGACGAACAAAATCTGTTCAAGTGAATCTCTACAAATTAACTTGGATTTGATCGAAGACGTGACGATCCTTATCAATCTTCCACATGTCATGGGTCTAAGCTATTTGCTCGTCGCATTACTGAAAACTGCACAGGTACTTTCCAGGTGCCCAGTGTCAGGACCTGTCAGTATCCATCAGCTAGCCAGTAAGCGTTCAACGATTCGAATTCCTCAGAGGAATACAATTATGCTTGTAACTTAGTTTCAGAAAAACCACACTGGTCATACTGTGAGGTGGCTAACTAAACGCGTTCAAAGAATTATAAAGGTTAACTTGACGAAATATAAAACAGGCAAACCTAGCTGCTCAATCCCAGAATATTCTGTCGTCTCTAATCGAAGTGCCGATATAGGCATTGCTTTGCGCCTTTATACAACCACAACATTTTCACACGTTAACTTCTAGGCAAGGAAATCTAGTTACTCCCCCCCCCAAACTTGCGAACCAGACGTGTGTAATCTATGGCAGTTTAGTCACAGCTCACTATCGCTGTGACCCCAAACTTCCAGATCTACTTGAGTTACGGACCACTGGGTCTCGAATTCACAGACTGTCCGTGTTCACTTCGTGAATATATTCAACTTGTCATCGTTTATGGTCACAGACTGTCCGTGTTCACTTCGTGAATATATGGTCAAACAGGAATAGAAATCCCCCGGATGTTATTGGTTTCCTTGGTTCATTGATCTTTGTACAGTGATAGTGTAAGAGCATGGAAAAATAAAAACCACGATCTGGCAGCTCTGTCGTCTGAGACGGAAAACAGTGGGTGAATGAAGCAGGGGCATTATTCGATTATCTGAAATCACGAGGGAATGGTGCGAACGGTAAGCTCAAAGATGGTATACAAAATGCCAGTCAACTCACAAAAGCGGCAAAGATGATTCCATAGTTGGTGGCCATATATTTCTGTCCAAATAGGGTTGCTGCGCCTGCTGGCATGAGGACAAATACGCCGCTCAGACAGAACCAAATAATGAATACCCAAGTCGCGTAGAGCCCTTTGAGTGCCTCCTCACCAGCATGATAAAGATGCGGAAAGGTGATTAGAAATGCAGTCCATACTGAAAGCAGTATGCACAACGGAAACTAAACCAAAGCAGAAAACAGAATCATCTATAATCATTTGGCATAAGAGTAAATTATTTACAAGGTAAACAGACAACCGAACTCTTCTTAATGTAACGATAAAACACTAAAAGGACTTTAAAAATCTCGCATAAAGTTAGACTGTTTTATAGCACTATTTGCGCACTGTCAACAGGAACCTTCATAAATCCAAGCTATCCTAGCTCTCTACTGAGCTTTTGTCGAATTTCAACGTAATCAGTACTTGAAAAACTGACTAGTCACCAACATCCAACAGAATTACCTTCTCTTGGGTAGCACTCTGATGACTGTTGCTTTAATGGATAACCTCTAGGACGAAACATCTTCCAGAAAGTCTGCAAGTGAGCTACTGGTCACCCACAGACCTTCAGTTTTCATTTAGGGATAATTACTTCTAGGCTGAGAACTAACTAAAAGACAGATCAAAGTTCCTGGAACAGGATCACATGTAAGTCAATATCTCGGCGAGATATCTGCTCCCAACTAAACCAAAACACCTTGTATCTAATGTATCCTGTTGACACGTCTTCTACCAGGTATGGTTTGAATTGATCCCATCGTTACTTGAAGTAAAGTCCTTCGAAAGCGCCAAATAAATCGCCGACCAAATGTAACCGTTTTCCCTAGCTTCAAAGCATTCTTTTATTCTGTAGACCGAATAGCACTTCTAAGTAAGCTCGGGAAAAGAGGAATGCATCAACAAAACGGCGGAAAGTTGAAGAATGAAAAGTGACTTTTTTTTATCAGTAACGCCCATGTGCAACAGGGTGGATGTCCATCCGCGGTCAAGCGTTTTTTACTGAAATTGTCAAAGCATGCTAACTAACAAATCTCCACACACTATAATTGATTTATAAGTGGATCAGAGGAGGAGCAATTTTACAGTACAATTAAACTTCCACCTGAGAAGTCGTTACTTGATAAGCAAGCCAATACTTGATCATGTGATGTGGTTTTTTGTGATGTAAGGATGGGTGGTGCTGTCCTGTCTAAGTGTGAATTAATCCCATTGCTGAACAGCTGCTTGTGGGGTCGATTGAGCTAATAAATTCAGCAAGAGAGGATGAAAAGCAATTGTACGGTTTCAGGCGCGTTATTAATTACATTTGGTTTGACTTTTACAACTTTACCTGAGCAAAGAAGACTTATCTTCCACTATGCTTGGCGAGTTGTTTGGGGGAGTAATCATCTCACTAGGTGGAGCAATTGTTCGTAGTTCTATGTTCCCTGCGGAGTGCAAAGTTTCTGCAATTAATAGCAATTGTTCGTAGTTCTATGTTCCCTGCCGCGCCCAAAACTAAACGCTCGAGTGCAAAGTTTCTGCAATTAACTTGGCTCAGTTGAACAGGCAAGGCCTTATTATTTGTGGGTTAAACTCGTAACCACATCTACAGCCACCATTTAGAATTGTGACAAACCTTGAATGATGCCCTGTCCGCGATGGCACCCCAGGCCACACGGCCAAGGGCGTTGAATACCGATGAAGCGGTCGCCACTCCCGATAGAAACTGATCATCAAAGATGTATTCTTGTCCGAAAAGCTGTAAAAATTTATGTAACGAAACAATTTTGTGTTTGAGTCAAAGAACATGCGGAAACAAAGAGTTATTCAGCTTAATTACAAATTTTCGTCACCTTGTAAGCCGAAGAGATTATCGTGACTGGGACGGCGATGAGGCACATTATCAAACAACAAAGGTAGAAATCCACGCAAGTCAGTGCCTCCTTGGGTGCCATATTGATTTCCCTGAAGCCAAAAAATATACATAATTAAGTCTCTGAATGAATCAAGATAATGCAAGGTCTATTTGTTCGCTTGTAAACTGATAGCCATTGATCGCTTAGGAGATCTGCTTACAAATGAGATAAAAATCAAAGCTGTCTTCTCCTATTTACGGATATTAGGCAGTTGTGAGAAGGCAAGATGCCATGGTGGAATCACTATGTGAAGAAAATGCGCATAAATTCCAAAGTTCCACAAATCCCGGATCTGAAATGCCTGCCTCCGAACGCCTAATGACGGCACCCTGCTTGAACATCTAACCTTTCTTGTGTGACATATTAGTCAATGGGTAACGGATAAATCAAAGGGGTTTGCACAAAGTAAACATTGACAGAGGCATGGTATATTGATTCAACTTGATGCGATGTCTTTGTGAGGTTTTGATGCTGACAATGTGCTTGAGTGGGACACTCTTTTTGGGGCACCAGTACACAGTGGACTTTTGGTAAAGTAACTACTTTAAGTAGAACATAGGGTTGACGAAAACTTGGGGACTGCGTCTACCTGATGAGCCCAAAAAAGGGTGAAACCGGCCGTGGGCTGTCGAGGAGTTTTCAGTAACCTTATGAGTAGTGCATTGCAAATTAATTAATCCAAGTTTATTAAGATTTGCTGGTGGACATGTGGAACTGGCTAAATTCATCCACCATCAAAACCCTGTATATTTACTGATCCAAGGAATGGGAACCCAGTTCAGGAGAGAACTATATAGTTCTCTCAATTAGTACATTTTTCTGCGACTCCGAATATTAAAAAATAAATAATCCAGATTGAACATAAGGAACCAAACTATGGTGAGTATATTTGTACTTTCCTTCCACACACCTGCGATAACCACCAGAAAGCTCAGTTGCCCGAGGGAGATTTAAGCTCCTCTGGATATCTGGCCTTTTTTGAGCGCGCGTACGGTCTATTTTCCTATTAAATGGCTTACCGTGAGTTCTCTCAAAACTTACGCCCTACAATTTACCTTGTGGCCTTACGGAATACATCCAATTTATGAGGTTATATACAAAATAGAGGCCTCCGTTTTGTCAATTGCTATTAATCCTAATGTCTAGCGACTATTCTGTACTATGATATAGCGCCATTATTTGAGCGTCGAATGTCACTTCTGGTTAAAGAGGTTAGTTCTCGTTCGCATCTACAATGTTGATTGTGGCAAGGATGTTGGTGATGTGCATTCGAATTGTGGGTGGCCGTGTAATTTTAGGTTTTCTTTCCGTATTCACAAAATGCTACTTATTCTCGCACAACTTCTTGTATAGTTTACACAACAGTTGAGGACCCAGAACCTTGGATTTTCGGTAACGCAGCACATCCGCAGCCGTACTGACAAGTGAACTGCGTCATCTAGTAGTCAAGCTGAGTTTGTTAACAGTGCACCGTGCACTGCATTAACCCAACAAACCAAGTCACTTCGAAGTGAAGCCATCGCCTAGAGAAGCGATAAAAACGTTTCGCGTCAGCCACGGTTCATTGTAAACCTGGCGAAGTGGAGTCATCTCACAGAAGTCACGGAAGCGACCCTGGCTATGTGAACAACCAAAGGTGCTCATACGTTAAACACGAGCCACCATAAAAGACGACCCAGAGATTTTCGACATAGTTTCAAACTCCGCAAAATTTGCTTTCTCGTTTCCCTGTTGCCGTTTTCCAATCGTCCTGCAGTTGTCGCTTTGATAAGTTATCCGATTCATTGAATAGATTTTCAATCAGAACTCTTCTTCCCAAGTATCGAAAAGTTTTGCTCCGCAAAGTATTCGGGACAGACCGATGTCAGATTCCCCCCTTTCCTGATTTTACGCTTTCTGACGGCTCCGGAGCTTTCTTCAAAACATTCTGAAGCAAAGGAACGATGTTGAATAGTGCCGCTGTCCAAGTACCCACAAGCATCCATTGTTGACGCTTGTTTACTGCACGACAGTGTGAATATTGGGAGTGAGCAATGTTAGTTGGAAGACAGGAACTGTGTGAAAATACCAATTTTTCCATCCCAACCGGACCATCTTACGGCACTGGGTTGTGCAACTTACTGTATTTCCGCTAATTTCAATTTCTGAAAGTACAATTGGTATCGCGTTATGTTTCGTCATACAAAGGGTACAAATTCAGGATTAGGTAGCGGAGAAAAATAGTTTCAAACGACGACGCGGGCTTACCTCTTGTTTCTCCTCCTCTCCCTCATCATATTTTTCGTTTACTTCTTCATGTGTGACCTGGTGTACCAATGAAGATTTTCGCGGATAAACATTTGAATAAATTATTATTTCTGTAGACGTCTTATCAGCATTTTTAAGCCACTGTTTGTGAAATTATGACGAATGCCTTAGGTTGAATTAACTAATTATACCGTTTCGGGAGTAAAAAATGTAGTTCTCAGCTCCCACATCTTATGTATCTCTATCATCTTAAACTGTGCAGTGAAGTGCCGATAGTTCGGTATTTTCCAGCTCTACATATTGCTCCTTAAGTGAACGGGTTGAGAATTCCTTACGTCTCAGTGGCCCAATGCCGAACAGTGCTTACTTTTCAGAGCACAGCCTGTCTGATAGGTGAACTCTGCCAATCATCCATTAAACGAGAGATTTAACGCCATGCACTGAGACCAACACGAAAAAACGTGTTTTTGAGGCAATTTTCAATGTCACTGGTGCCATGCTTGGCGACGTAGCTGCATTGTATTTCGTCCTTATGCGGCGGAAAACGAGTTCAAGCCTTGAGGGATGCTCTAGTGTGCTCCGTTTCTTTCCAGTGACATAACTCATTTCTTAAACTAGCACCTACTTGCTCTAATCACTGCTAGCAAAGTTTTTTTCCGATAATTAAATCACTAAACCCGTTTAGGTAAGCTGAATTCACGCAATTCAGATGTACCTGAGGCTGGGTGGATTTTATAGGAAGTACAAACTGTTTTTCCATAGTGTTCGCACACTGCTGTGATCATAGTCTAGCATTTTGAAAGCACTGTAAACATCTGGAAAACATCCGTAAAACATCTGAAAACATTTGTAAACATCTAGTACTGTAAACATCAGCTATCTTATTTCGCTGCTGAATGATGAGTTGACTTACAGAAGAGGGAGCCATTTAGACGTTTGTTGGTAGATCTACATGGATATACTGATTACTGTTCAACTTAAAAACTGTTTTAATAATTTAATTAGAGGTGACCTGTTGCGAAAGCAAGAATCCTTCGGTTGGCGAGTACATTGACCAGTGACAATTAAAAATATTTCAGTGTCTAAAAGCAAAAAAAAAAACTAAAAATCACAGGAGTTCACCGTGCGATAAATAGCATCAAAAGGTAAAATTAAAACAGACAAAACAGTCATTAGGATTTGAAACTGGTATATTGCGGAAACAATTAATGAAATCACAAAATGTCCTACCTTTTCCGGTCTCTCTCGCATCAAGCCAAAACCAATGATTTGTAAACCAAGCAGTATTCCACCGCACAAAAGTGGGCAAAGCGGTACGCGATCTAATAAGCTCTGATCTGTAAAAACCCTGTCAAAAGATGAAAATTACATTTGAAAAGGTGGAAAACCTCAGGAGATCATGACAAATGATCTGAGAGATGGAACTAAACGATTAATGCTGATGGCTATGAGCTTTTCACATCGATGGGACACGCATCCGCAAAGAAGTTTTAAATGACAGTTTGCTTCACCTTCTAGATGTCAGTGCAGTGTCTAAAAGCAAAAAAAAAACAACTAAAAATCACAGGAGTTCACCGTGCGATAAATAGCATCAAAAGGTAAAATTAAAACAGACAAAACAGTCATTAGGATTTGAAACTGGTATATTGCGGAAACAATTAATGAAATCACAAAATGTCCTACCTTCTCCGGTCTCTCTCGCATCAAGCCAAAACCAATGATTTGTAAACCAAGCAGTATTCCACCGCACAAAAGTGGGCAAAGCGGTACGCGATCTAATAAGCTCTGATCTGTAAAAACCCTGTCAAAAGATGAAAATTACATTTGAAAAGGTGGAAAACCTCAGGAGATCATGACAAATGATCTGAGAGATGGAACTAAACGATTAATGCTGATGGCTATGAGCTTTTCACATCGATGGGACACGCATCCGCAAAGAAGTTTTAAATGACAGTTTGCTTCACCTTCTAGATGTGGATAGACCGTCTGTAGCATTTAGATAGTTGTTAACTACCTCTGATGTTTATACACATGTAGTAGAAACTTATATGTGTTCATTCTTTAGTGTATATACTTGTTCTTCTGACAAAACAGTGCTGATTATCTTTCTGTTTTGTACACGGCAATATCAAGTGTTCCAACACTGCGACTACCCAGAATGATGCTGAGTTCTGTTTTTCGTGTGTGCACGCGTATATATTCATGGTCTAAATTGCGATGGAGTGGGAACTCACATGAGACCTTTCGGGTTTGACAGTGGCATGAAACCAGACAATCTGCCCGACTTGTGTCAAAGTTATAAGTATGGCATATAATGCAGGTGGCAGCAGAGTCATCCAACTAGACCAAATGGTCAAAAACTGATTGAGGGAAGTTGGCTGAAGGAGTAAGGAAATGGCCACCACAGCAACCAGCAGGATTTTTCGGCCGAAACTGCTTGTCGTTAACGCACAAGTGGTTGTGAGGAGCCGGATGCATTACTAAGGGCAAGACTGCCAGTCCACCGTGGAGAGGAGGATATTTTGGGAAAAACAACACTTTGGACCATGATGGGAGCGAAAAAATCATGCCATCTTGATTCCATCGCACATCTTTTACAGCCACGGAGCAACGCATAAATCACAAGAGCGTGGTACAGGACGGAGACGCAGATGTTGATGTTGCTTCGCATGCAAACATGGACGTCTTCATGGATTTGTTCTTGTATTCCATTTTGGAAGGTAAAATATCCAGTCCTTTGATTGGTAGTGTCTAGCAGATCGTTGTTCCACAGACTACATCATCTACCACGTGCTTGGCGGAATGCGGCAAGTTTACCCACAATTTCCACGAGAAAGCGATAATTAGCGTCCGCAGAAACTGCCGTAACATTCTCCAGAGAAGAGCACATGATACGGTGAAACATATCACTCACATCAATCAGGAACAAATAGACGTTGTCGGCGTTTATTTCCATGCTCTCGTGTANCCACGTGCTTGGTGGAATGCGGCAAGTTTACCCACAATTTCCACGAGAAAGCGATAATTAGCGTCCGCAGAAACACTGCCGTAACATTCTCCAGAGAAGAGCACACGATACGGTGAAACACATCACTCACATCAATCGGGAACAAATAGACGTTGTCGGCGCTTATTTCCATGCTCTCGTGTAGGGCAAGATCATTGCTGGTGGCAAAATACCAGTGATAAAAGCTGAAGCTTAGTTGCCATATGATCATTATTTAAGTACGGCCTTCTTCAAAACATCACAATAGAGAGGAAGAAGTGGGACAAAAGTCCGGGCAACTTAAGGCATTTTACGAGCTTACTCCTCCCAACGCTAATCAGACAATCCATGCAAAAGTGGACAACGTGATTTCTGTTGGCATTAGCCTGAACAAGCTTTTTATACCAAACGTAGGAGGATCATCCTGCCTCAATTCTGGTAAATAGACTGCGCCCGCTTGTCGTAATCCATAAAAGATTCATAATCACTCAGTATGGGTCACTAAATTAGGTAAGGAAAACCATTAAAAGACTTGAAAGCTATACCAGTCTATCAGAAGCTATTCGTTCCAGAGATATTCATTGACTAAGGCCTCTGCTTCACAAACGTCTATTTGCTTCATTGCTATTTTGTTGGCGCACACATGCGATGCGTCACTCTTTCTCAGGACGGGCACCATAATCGACTAGTCTTGCTGGACTAAGGTGGTCTGTTTATAGCGAATCAGCTAGACAATGTTCTACTCGGGGACATTAACCACAGTACTAAATAGTGCAGAGAGGGTGTCAAAACATGGGGCACGTTAGTGCAGATGGGGGAGACATGCACTCAAAGCTGTCTCAAACAGGAAAACCTAGATCAATGGTTTTGCTGTAGCATAGTGTTAAGACCAATTATTAATAACCGATAGTTTTGATAAAAATGCACGTCATCATTATGCGAAAGCAGTCAAGGAAAACGTTAGCTTTTTTATGAACCGTTAAAATTTAAGCGTAGTTAGTCAGCCAAGACCAGAGCTGGCCGGTACTTCACGGTGTTCGAAACTGTTGACCGGAAAGCGCACAGGTTACAGGCTAACTATTTCATCGTAATGAGTGGGCCCCGAAAAAGGGTACCAATGAAACGATTATAAAATAGTAAAGGAGGACGGAAAGTGATGGATCAGCCGTGAAATATCCTATTCTACCAATTTTCCTGTATATGGCCAGTCGAGTTTAGTTCGTGAAACTACGCAGCGGTCGGTGTGGTATGGTGATATTCTTGTTTTTAATTACGACCGGAAAAAGATATGAGGTACTGTCACAACAAAGAAAGCGCGGAGAAATGGTATGCCCAGCCAAAGTTTCTGTCCCAAAACTATGTCCGTTTGCTACCTTATCCGACTGGAAGATACAGTTATCATTTTTTGAAAAATAAGGCTAAATAAGGCAAAATAGGGCTACAATGTAGGACATATGTTCTCTTATCTTGTAACGGAAAATTTGGAGAGATATTGGAATGCTTGAGACACTATATATGTCGGGGATTAAATTGACCCTCACGCTGGTGAGACATACTAAGTCAATGCAAAAATACGAAAGGTCAGAACGATGTTTTCCAAACTGCACCTCTTGTGGAGTCAAGAAGACAAACTATTCGGTCTTGAAGGACGAGTGCAGTGCACTACAGAAAGAGTCAAAAAGTTTGTCCATTAAGCAGAGAACGCCACGGAATTTTCCTCTTATAGAGGCAAACTGCCCACGCAAACATATTGTACGCCGACTCTTGGATTATCTAGATGTTTGTACGCTCTGATGGATAATGAATAAAAACTTGAGAAGTTCGTTTATACCCCACTGTCAAGCGTTGGCCACGTTATGAATGTACGGGTCCTTATATCCTGGCATTTGTTTACTCAGACGTAGAATCTACTTACCTGGCCTAGGCTGCAACAGTTTCTGCACATTCTGCTGAACTCGGCATGGACTCACTCTGTGTAAGTACTTGCAACGTCTCTTAACATTCTGAAAGATCAGTCTCATTCAAACATGCAGGAAGACTGTGTGCAAAACTATCTAGAATGAAACCTGCTATCAGAGGCTGAAGTTGTTCTGATTTATGACGGAGTATGAATCTTATCACCTTCCACAAATTGATTGCAACGCAAAAGAATGTTTAACATATTACAGAGATCAAAATTTCCACGAAATTAAAACTGATGCAATTGCAAGAAAACAGTGTAGTATACAACAAACGATGGTGTACTTCCTGCTTGGTACATAATTTTGATACGTTTGATCAAAAGTTCAAACGTAAATAATTTCTGTAGCATAACAATGTAAAAAAATCTCTTACTCACATTTTAACGCTGTCCACTTTTTCATTGTTTGGGTTGATAAATGCAGTCTGTATTGGTGTGAAAACAAGTGATCCCATTCCAAAACCAGCCAGCGTAAGGCCAACAACAAGGGCTCGCTTGCTTGGAAACCACTAAAAACGAAGCAAACCCAAAACGCACCCATGAGAAACTAATATTTCGTATAAAGACAAAAAATCGACCATAAAAACCATTTAATCAACTAATACATTGGTCCCGGGTAGATGTTTAGGTTTTGTTAAAAAGAAGAACACCAGGATAGCGAACACTCAGCATGAATTAGCCGCTTGTTTTCATGTCCCAAATATATCAACTTACAGATGCCGTATGGCTTAGGACTACCGAATAGCCAAGCCCAAGTCCAAGTCCTTGTAGAAGTCCATACGTAATAAGTACCCATGCAAAGTTGTGCTTGATTGCAACATTGGTTATCAGAATGCTGAAACTATAATCAAACACATGTATTACTGCGGGGTAGTTCAAGGGATGGACATATAGAACAACGACAGTCACCACCGCACATTGAGCGTGTAAGAAAGCTATCAAAATTAGAGTTTGAGCGAAGTTCATTCTCAAGTGTGATAGCTGGTACTACCAAGCTGCGTGCCAGTAATTAAAATGGCTGTGCATCGAAACAAAAGGTACACAGGGGCGACCGCATATACATTTAAAACATCTACTTAGATATCCTTCCAAAATAGCTCTTCCTCCAGTAACGTGCAGTGCGGTAGAGCATCTTTGTTTTTAAGTAAACGTCCCCAAAATCTGGATAGTATGCCCGGTTTCCCCTTCAATTGTTCGAATAACTAACTAAACCTTAACTTCGAAACTTGAGTTCAAACTTTTAGGAGTGGGAAAAAATTCGTGACGGTCAGTTACATAACCGTGGTTCAAAATTGCCTTGATTCTCATCGTCTAAGAATGGTATATAAATTATGATCTCCCTTTTCAAGGTTGCACTGGTTGTATGGAGGCGGGATTGATACACATAGCGTTTAAATTTTGACGTATCCGTTTAGCAAAGCATATCGTCAACCACCGCCGGATAATTGTACCAGCCTACATACAGTCATTGTACTATATAAGAGAATAATAATATGTCCAGTTGATAAGAAATAAATGATCTACAAATAATGCACCTCAAAACCCCGTGCGGAATTTTTGTTATCATTGCAGCTAGGAAATATAGGCTTTTTCCTTAAAAAAAAACTGATGAACTTTTGTGCAGACGTTCTTGTAATATCAAAACGCAAGCTAGAGACGCACAAAATAAGGGGAAAACCCAACACAATTAACGCTGTTGGCAGAGGCACAGAATAGTTCATCACAGGATCAGCTCTCGGTTATCTATGGACATTGCCTTGTAGTATCGTCCTGCCATTCCGGAAAGATCATTTTCATACTGTTGATGGCTCTCGCGGCAGTTTCAGTGGCCCGATATATAACCCACATATTACACCCAAGCAGGACAGGTGCTGTTCAGAGCCCTTAAACGGCATGCAGGTTTATCACGTTATTGTACTAGAATAAAGACTGAAAGCTAAACGGTAAATAGTTAATCATAACCGAATACTACGAAGTATATGCATTAAGCCTTGTCAATTACCAGTTGACATCAACGTGGTTTTACATACAGTCCTCGACGGTGTTCCCACAACAAACTTCCCGAAATTAAAATTGTTGAAATAGAGGAGAATATTCAGGTTTTAGCACCGTCAGCAGAAGTCTCTAGGTTTAAAACCTTCATTCGGTGTAAACAGTACCATCAGAAATGGACTTCGAATCTGGCACACAATTTTTAGCCCAAAACTACGATAGTTCGTACCACGTAAAACAGACAGAAAGTTCCTGTAATGTCACACGTGGAAGTTAGTTGACATGTTACCAGATAAGGAGCAGCATGCACTTCCTGAACATCGCTCTCTTCTTGTATCTATGGGGCTAACCTAGATGCGACTTTTACGTATTTCTGTAAAACTTTTTACGGCCTGTCAAATCAATGATTTTCTCTGAAATCCCAAAAAGAATGAGTTCAAGCAAAAACCGAGTCGCAATCAGTTGAATACCTTTCTAAACGCTTAGTTAGCGTTAAATATGGTACAACTAAAGCGTACCCAATATGCATCTCGTTCGCTGTCGCATTAGGCTCCCTCTTGGAGCCCCAGGCTTCCAGACATGTGTGGAATACTGTATTCTTTTATCTTCAGTAGGCATCTTTGTCGGCGGAAACTTCGGGTTTACACCACAGATAACCTCGACTTTTCCCTCACCCCTGACAGAGGGTTGGTTTAGCCCAGAGGTCTCCAAAGCCAGCAAATGTTCATTCTCTTGTATCACACTAGAGGACTTGAAAAGGCTGTTGCCGTCTTGTATTGGCCCTATTTTGTAGTGTAGCTGGTGAGAGACGTTTCGTTTGTCGGAGTTTTTATGAGAGGAGTTCAATGGTGGTGTTCAAATCTGATGAAGTGATGAGTATGGTTGAGGTGGGTGTCTTCAAAAGCTAAACATGCGCGTGTTTAGATTCCACCGGGTCACCACTGAGGAGACTAGTCATAAATTCCATCCAAGCAGGAAACCAGTGGTTTCTTCAAGGAAAGTCGAAAACGTTCCATACGCGCACAAAAACGACAACAGCACAAAACAGTAGAAACTATTTCGACTCAAGTTCTACTGAGTAGCTGAAGGAAATGGTGAATTCGACAGTTGTCTATTTCGGTTTGCCAAATGCCTCTCGACCTGTCTGATACATGCTAAATTAAGATGAACGCTGATGCATTATGCTAACTGAAACGTGTGGTTCAATTATTTTATACTTCAGATACATTGGAGAAAAGAAAACCTATTTTTTTTACTCTGTTCAACATATTACCAGTCAAAAAGGTTAACAAGAGTGACCAATAATAGTTACTCACCTGTCAACTATACAACTGATGGCCACAATGGGTCGGAACCCAATTTTTCTGGCACCTAATCCGCCAAGAGGCATGGATAATCCCTGCCCTACTAACGCCAAGGCAGCTAACCATATGGTAAGCTTCCGATTCACATTGGCGTCAACTCTCTCTACGGTGTAACTCAAAAGGTATGGAGTCATATTAGCTGTGCCTGTTGGGAACTATAGCTGGATACTCACCACAAGTATAATAATATCCATATGTGAAATGTATCATCATTCCCCCAATGATGGTCATAATGCCATAACATGTATATTTCTTTTCAGGAGTCTGAAATAGAAAGTGACCTGATTCTCTTGATATATTTATGTTACCATCGTAATAGTCTATCGTTCTGTTTTGTCAGACAATATGGGTAAATTTATTCCTCATAACATGGGATGTATTGGGACGTCTACACGCAAATATATAACCGAAAGCAAACGCTTGGGTCAAAAATATATCCTTTTCAGCCTATTAAAACAAAAGACATTAGGTTAAATGGGTTCACGGTCTCATGCAGACAAGGGTTGCTGCACGGGGCACAAGCATTCGCTCAAGCCTTCATTGTGGAGCTCATTCCTGTAGTTGCTAGACTTCCGTTCACCTGAAGGGTACAAGCCAAGAGCAGGGTGTGGAGACTCCCTTCAACTCCTCAGCTTTGTGAAGTAAATCTATTAGTGCGAGGGCTTATTATTATGCGAACAAACGGATTGATACGCAGGCCAGAACTTGTTCAGCCATGGGTTAAGTAGAAATTGGGTATCTCGGACGTGACGATACTCCAGGTCAAGCACCATGAGACGCGTTTCATAGTCCACGGATTTTAGGCGGGTAACCATTTTCGTAGCACCTCGCTGGCATGAGTCGGATTCACGGATTCACGGATTCACGGATTGATACACAGGATCGGGGCTTTTGCCCAAGTTTCCCGGGTCGGTTTTGTTCTTGTCGGTCAGTGGCTGTCGTTCACCATGCACTAATATACACGGCAGAGAACCGTATAGGTGCTCAATGGGGGTTCCGTCCTTCTTGCCACCTGAGTAGATATCTGTTTGGCATACTCAAGAAGCGACGCAATCTATGCCCCATAGATTACTTGGAAGTTCATTCGAGCGGTAGGTGAGATTGGCGAATGTATTTTCAGCCGATTTATCGTGGTACAATGGGGATATAGTGATCCTTCTGACCATTTTACATTAGTACATTCTTTGTAACTTATCATTGCTCAACTTGTGCCACTTTCTATCTCTCACTGAAATCTCAGCTTATTCCTCTTCTCTTCATACCGAATAACTTTTGTTTAAATGAAGAAAAGAAATATGGAGGCATACACACAATACAAATTCTGTACTTCGTGAAAGGCGTGTTCCCTTCTTGCTGTATCGAGTTACGCTGTCAGTGAATGAACGAGCGGTGATCTACCTTTCAGACTACGACGGGATAGAAGGTATCTAGGACTACATTAAGGAAGATTCCAGGAAGGAAATCGATTTGGGTTTATTGTGGTGGTACTAACTAACTGCATCAACGAACTGTAAGTTGGGTCATCTCGTCCATTTTTACTCACTTGATTTAACTACCCTGATACCTGTGACATCTTCTGGTCCATTCTCGCCATGTACGACCCAGGCGCTTGCAGGGCCCCCTGAATGACAGATAGACGCACATTCCGCCGTTCACAGAAAGGTGCCTGTACAACGTCCACTATTTGGCAGCGCCTGCGCCCACTGGTCACTGGCTTAGAAACTGCAGGAGTCTAAGATCTCCGCAAAAAGTAAATACTGACTTGCAGTAACATATGGAATGTTGTTGTCGCACATCAGAAACAGCGATGGTTTCAAAACAGAGCCTTTGGAAAGTCCCATGGAGCCCGGTGCACGATAATAGTAGGACGCGTCCACTTTCACTCATATAAAGTCGCTTAAACGTGCCTCACACTGACATCTTGATGCAACGTGAACAACTCCTAAAGGATGGTTGTTCTGAGCAGAATATGGTTTTGTTGTTTTTGTTGTTGTTGATTTATAGCATTACTTGCTGTGAGTTTGCAGAATGTTCTTACCATAACATCACCGTTTATTCATTGAGTCAACGGTAATATACTGACGAGCAAACCTCATCCAAATGCGAGTTAGTATTGGGCTCTCTTGGATCTGCGCTCTTATACCAGCGTTGCTCTTCCTATGTTGATTCCCTGCTCACACGATTGGACAACCCAACTGAATCACGTCAAAAACGACGTCTGTCACAAGGTTGTCTAAACCGAAGTACAATGATGGCTGGGCACTGCCATATCCAGCTTGATAGCATACCCGCAACAATTCATTTTCTTCTCTTGGCCGTATACTCTCACCCACTCGTTCCCTTACCTGCAACGGTGAACAAGCCCTTCACCAAGTCCCAGCGACCTCCTGGATGCGTTCATTTCAAACTGCTTCAAGCTTTACGCGACAAAGAGACTCTTGCTACTGTTCATCCTTATTTTTACTCACTTGATTTAACTACCCTGAATTAGTATTCGCTAGCGTTATCCACCATATAATTGGTGAGCCCGAATTTTAGTTCTCCTCCTTAGATCACCTAGAACTCCTCTCATTCACTCCAGCCATAAGCTCAACAGTCCGTAACAGAAAAGGTCTCATCGGCGGTTGAAGAGTTTAGTTCAGATTGACCGGTCAAGTTATGGCAGTCCCGCCACCGCACTAGATTCTTTATTGTATTGCCTTATTTTTTGCAGTTTGAAGTTTTTCCATCGTGCGCCAGGCAGGGCGCCTCACTGCCCTTTGTTCGGTCAACTTCCACCTTCTTCAAATCTTAACAATCCGATCTTGTCTCACCTTGATATTTTCCAACAAAAGTAAGACACTCCTGGTAACTGTTCCCTTTGCCACGTTGGTTCAGGCGCGACCAAGTCTACATCGAATGTTACTCGCTGTTAATAGCACCCTTTTTTCGTGCAATTCCCGGTACCCGCCAGTCTGACTGTAACTGTGTGACCAGCCGTGATGGTAGCCATCCACTAATTGGAAATAAACACTGTTATTCCTCTTATGGTTATGTTCAAGAATTGCTTTCCGCTCAATACATGGTAGCGAGTCAGCTGACGGTATTGACGAGGTGACTGGCGACTCCCACTCAAACTTGCTTTGAGTTGACGTAGTATACTCCAGTTAAACCACGTTTATTGTCCATTATCTCGGAAGCTGTCATCCAACCGCTTATTATTTATTTGCTGCTCCTACTCACATTACCCCACCTTTTGCACAATGGGGACTCTAGTGATGTGATGTTCAGCTCAGTTAAAAACTACCACCATGTAATAGTCTTTCAACTAGTCCAGCAAGCTACTCCCGCGACTTATTGTTTACCAGAATTAGGCAATGTGTCTTTACCCAGCTGGTTCATTAATAATAATAACGATAATAGTAATACTTTTTCGGAGTTGTGGGTGGCATAACGTGCGACATGATCATACATTTACAGTCAAAATAATAATAGGTTCATTTCCGAACTTGTAGGAAACGATGGGCATGAGGCCCGACTAGTTCTAAGATGGAGCCGGCTGACATGAACTAAAGTGAGAAGCATTGCTAGCCATTAGTGACCTTAGATATTTGAGTAAATGGTCAGAGTCACAACAACCAAAGATGGAATTGGAGATGGAAAACTTCAAATTAGAAGAAAATGGCAAGCCCTTAAGGGATAGCGTAATGCATAGGTCCAAGCGGATGCCATATATGGTGTTGAACTTGTGAGAAGCAAATCAATCCGAAGGAAAGTTTCATGATAATGTTCATTCCCAAATTGTGGGTGGCAGGCCGTCTGGCATGATCATGCGTTTACAGTCAGAATGGGGCATTACTGAGGGATTTGCGGGTAGTGGTGACTGCGCGAAAAGGGGACAATGTCACAAACAGTGGGAGGTACTCGATTAAATAATAATAATATGTTTCTCTTGCAACTTGTAGGGAACAATAGGCATGAGTTCCGACTAATTCATAGGCTCAGTCGGCTGACATGAACTAAAACTGAAAAACCATTGCTGGCCATGAGTGAACTTGGGCGGTTGGGTAACTGGCCGGAGTCATAATGAGATAAAGTGGAGGTGGAGATGGAATAATTCGAATTGGGAGAAGGTGACAAGTTTAGTCTCAAAACTATGGTGCAATCTGAGAACAAGCAGACTCACTGCTTGCTCTGTTGCTGGGAAGTCAGGTGTAGGGGTTAGGTTTGATGGGCACACAGAGGTGGTTGAATTCGAACGAGCAGTCCAACAGGTTGAAATGAATGTCATGGTGGCAGTTGGGGTCGATGAAACGAGTAGGCAAGAGGGCACGGTTGAGGGGAGGAATGGAACGGTTGCGGGTGTGCCATCAAACGGAGTATGGCAGTACCGTGCCATCATTGGCCTGACATGCTTCAGTTTTTGGACAGCCCCGTGACGGAAGTTACATTTGAGATGATTCGGATGGAATGTGCAGTTCATTGAGCAGCAGTATTCATTTCAGCCCGGTCGAGGAAACAAGTAGGAACGAAGCCGATATGGGACTGCAGGTTTTCTTGGTCCACTTGGCGATCACAGAGTTGTAGATCATAGGCCAGGCGAGTGGAGATCAGCCAACCAGGTCGTCCAAAGCGGGCACTTCCGAAGTTTAAAGCTTGGGAAGGTGAGGGGAATGGAGGAGGTTCGCAAAACATAGTGAGCTTGAGGGGATATGAAATGAGATAATATGCATTAATATACACAGAAAGAAAAGCTTGACTTCTGCTGTGACCATGGTGATGACAAGCGATTACATGGAGTAGGAAATAGATAGATTTGTACTTAGTGGGCTAGGGACCAAGGGCTGAGTTTGCTAACATACAATATTATATTACAAGGGATCTAGTAAAAGCCGATATAAGCGCGCAGAAGCGTGGAATGGGAATCAAATGTGTAAAGGCTGGTGGGAATGGATTTCTAAGCTAACTGGTTAATCGAGTGTTTAATACATGTGTTGGATTATACCAGGAGTTAAAGTGCGTGCTTGAGAAATAGTCACCAGTCCCTGAGGCACTGCTATCAGCCCTAATCTGTAGGTGGTGCATAGCGATGAAGAC